GCGCGTGCGGCTTGAAAGTGTTCGAGGGGGGAAAGTGGTCTCTTGAAAGCGCCAGGTTACGGGGAGATGAATAAATGCATGCGTTGGTCGAGTAAAGGGCAAATAGAACCGTTTGGTTATGATATTGGACCGGAAATGGTGGAAAGTCATGGATGGGGGGAAGGGATTCCGGTTATGGTTTTAGGCGGGAAGTTGTATAGCTTTAGGGAAGTTATGCAAATTTGACAAATCTCAGCACTGAGATTGTAGATAAGATAGCAAGTTATTGATCGGCGCACTAATAGTCGGCACAGATAAGACCACTAGGCAAGAAATAATTGGTTTTTTCATTGGAAAAAATACCAAACTATAGTAGATCGCTAACTAGATAGCAATAACCGAGCAAATGCTGCCCATATACCGAACAAAAATTTTCCCAAAAACATTCCTAATCTTGCCTTTTTTAGCACTACCCCCCGGGAATCTAAGGTATTTAGCAAGCAAAGGCGCTTTTGGGTCAATTTGGGCCCGTGGCGCCGGCGCGCGATCGCACAATTGAAAGCGAGCAGCCCCACCGCCCGCGCCGCATGAATGGGCTTCTCACCTCCCGAAAAGGGGAGATACAGACCGGCCCTGGGCCACACCACTGATGTTGACTCGAACCCAATAAAGAAGGAGAAGGGTTGGGTTGGGTTGGTGGGTGGGTGGCCCAGCTACCGCGGGGTGAGGCCGTGAAGCCATCAACAATATGCGGTGGGGGCCCCCTCTTCAACCAACAAGAAACAGTCCATATGCAGCCAGCTGCCAAGTGCCCTCCCTGGCTGGCACTTCCGGTCCTGTGGTTAGCAAGTTTCAGGATGTGGGGGGTGCCGGCAAATTGGTCCCATAACCCGGGGTGGGTCGCTATCAAAACAAATAGGAGACACCGGCTTCACCTTCACCATGGTCGGGGTGGCTGATACAAAACCGGGGCTAAGCTGGTGGGAATGGTGCTGTCACCTGCCCGTGGGGTGGTCGGACGACTGGGTGAAGGAGACGTGTCAATATTTGTGTGTGAAATGGTTTGGAATGGCGACTGGAGGGTTGTGATTTGGAGAGTAGAGGAAGTAAGCTATGTAAGGTAAGTAAGATAAGAATTCCGTTTCTTAAACCGAAAAACCATTTTTCATAAAGTCATTTTGCCCAAAATTAGGTTGAACTAATAATTTGAACGACTCTCTAGGTACCGAAAAGGCTTCAAAAGCTTGTTATCGAATATCAAGAAAGATTTTAATAAGACAACTAGTAAGCTAAAAAAATTGCCTTTGGGAAAGATCGAAATAGGCTGTATATTTTCTACCGTAATGTCGGTATTTTTTAATTAAGAAATTTAGAAGAGTAAATTTCGATATTCTGTCCGCCATTATGAAAATTCAATATCCGAAATTTCGACATTTTGAAACCAACCCCACCCCTCAAGGTAAGCACCAAAATTTGAGTGCAAAGCTCCAAAAAGCTCCCCAATTTTTATCTTTTCCTAGGTATAGGCAGACGACAGATCTACAGATTAAAAGACAGAACCCGTTTATAAAAAAGCTCAAGTAACCATCTATCGAGTTTTTTTTACAAACATCTACGAACCGAAAAAGGGATTATCACCCTCGAGACAGTGATTACAATCAAAGCCAACGGCAGTGAAGCCGTGAGGAATGAAAAGAAAAACGCGAGAGAAAGCTGCACCCAAACACACACCCCACAAGCGGACAGAAGCAACCAACGGCTGGCTGACCTAGGTGGCATGATTGATAATCGTTTGGGAGCCAAGAATAACAATGCAAATATGCCGATGCGGGGGAGAGCACAGCGGGGAGGAGGAGAAGCTGGAAGATGGGCTGGGATGGGATGGAGCCTGGGGTTTATGGGATGATTAGAAGGAGGAGGAGTGATAGGTTGAAAAACGGGGTATCGGGATGGGTCAAGGAATGGCGGGGACAAGTACACGTAATAAGGTATATTACAATCATACCTAATAGCATGTGCGTGAGTTATAATCGAATAATGCATTTTTCAGGTATTATTAAGAATTTTAACCAGATTGTAGTGATAAAAACGGACCAAATTAGTTATAATTCAATCCATTTTGTCGATTATTGGCGGCATTTATTTAATTTACTATTCAATCAAAAAAATATCAGTGAAATTCTTTTCATTGATTATTCAAAAAATAAAAAGCCATCGGCTTCTATTAATTGGGAATACGGTATATAATAAAAGCTTTAACACGCCAGAAATCAAGAGCCGGCTAGTAAGAATCCAAAAGATTACTCCAGAAAGATTGATACTGCCGACAGTGGGCTTTTGGATGGGACGACTGACTTTTGAGTGCAGTTCTAACAATCGGTGCCAAGAGCCGGAACATTGTCAAACACGTGCTTGGATCTCGGCGATCCGGTCCCCGGGCGCAGAGTAATGCAAATCGGCGATCGACGGCAAATAACCCGAGAAGCTGCACTTGCTACAGTTAGACTAGTCTTACGGGTGTTAGAGTAAGGCGTACCTATTTTTAGGAAAAGCCTTTTGGTTTAAAACGGGAAATGTTCGGTCTATTTTTACGACGTATTCAATTTAAGGAATTATGCATCAGAGCACACTAAAATACTTCCAACCTTTTTCATGAAAACTGTTGGAATACAAACTACAAATTAGAGTAAAATCGTACAAAAAATCGGTCTAGCCTCTTTTTAAAGACTCATCTTGAGAAGCACTTTGCTGTTGGAAATCGACGCTAAAAACGTAAAGATTAAAATGATTTTCAGATACCGGTCAAAACAAAAAGTAACAGATAATCGCAACATTTTGAGGGCTAATTGAGTTGCGCCGGGCACCCGCATTCGGCGCAGCGGTGTCTGGAGGTGTGAAGAAATGTGTGCGCGAAGAAGAAGCGGGTGTCGCTGTCATTGTGACGCCTCGCCCGGAGTCGGCGGGTGGCAGGTGGGCAAGCACACTCTCGCCACCCATAGACCCTAGATAGCTCTACTCACTTGAAACAGCACATTATCGGATTTTTTGGGGATTAGAACCGGTAAGTTTTACTTGTAAATTACGGGAATTTGCTAATCTAAGCGTGGTATACCTAGGAGGCACTTAGATATGCTATTTCATTTGACCCACGTAATAAAAGAACAAAATACAATCATATGCTAATCAGAAATCGTGAGGATAGTGTGCTTGTGGAGAATCGATGCACCCGCTCAGATCAACGAGGCGAAAAGATCCCCACACCCCGCCATTCTTCAAATCCCGACCCAAGGAACTGGTGCTTCCCCCCTGGCTTCCTGCATAATTCGATGCCGTTTTTCGAATTATTTTCCCCTGTCGTTCTCGTGTCCGTTTTTGTCCATTTTTTGAGCATGATCTACCGACAAAAATTTATTTCATCATCAATTTCAAGCATCAAAAAACGAGAAAATTTGGTGAGACTGAAATTTTCGCCAACACGCGTCAATCCTTAACTATTTGAATGGTGATTCAAAGATACCCAAGAAAAGGTGCAAATTACAAAATTAAGTGTCATAGACCAGGATATAGTTAGGGATTTCAAGTAAAAAATAATGTATTTTTAGCTCAGGCTCGTCAATCCCTGTAAGTGAAAGTAGCGTGTCAAGACTCGATAAAATACAATGCAAAACAGTCTAGAAAAAGTGTTACATATAACTGGGTCGTAGCGCCAAAAATCACACATTATTTTTCGCTGTAAAAAGCTTTAGGGTGGCTGCGCGGATTTGGATTCGGAATTCAGGAAAAATGGACAGTTTTCAACAGCCAGAAAATAATTTGTGGTTTTAGCAGAACGCGGGCAGTCGACCAGAACCGAATCCCGGGGCACCTTGCCTCGGTTCATACCACGCCCACAAATCATTGAGCCTTTTAGGCATCGCATCTGGAATGGCTCAACACACACTGAAAAAATCACCTTAAGGAAATTAATAAAGCATTACATTATTAAAAACAAATAAAAAAACACTGCACCAAGGAACGTGAGAAAGATTAATGACCACATCTATTGAAGTGCTCGCAAACCTATAAACAGAAAGTGAAAAGAATACTGAATGCAAAACCCGAAAATGGTGCACGGGTCAGAGTCATGTCCATTTTCATAGCAGGAAAACCTCCCGAAGCAATCCAAACCTAACCCTGGAACCAACAAGTGAAAGTTTTGACCCCAAATTAGTTTGCCGTATAACGTTTCCCAAATGAAAATGTTGTTAGGATTTGAGGGTGAGGTTTGGAACATACTTCTGAATGAAATCCTGCAAAATGACAGGTAGGTAGGCTAGATCAGAAGAAGATCCGGTGGCTCAATATACAAAGGGGGCGTGTCGCGTCTGCGACAAGAACACAGAAAATATCCGAGCAGAAGGTCAGAATGCTGTTTTTGCGATTTTGTAAATTTTTCGATCCTGACCTCATGGCTACTCGCTTTGGGGCAACAATCAGGTTATTAAAATTGAAAGTTATCAATCAATGTTTTCCTGAAAAGGTTGGGGAAAGTGAAAAATAACACGATGGTACGGTTCTTCCTTATACTTTCTATTGAAACGCTATATCTTAGCCTAGCTTCTAACTAAAGATAATGTAGATGAAAAGTTGGTGCTATGTACACATAGGGCTACTTCGGTTATATGATGACACAAAAACGAAAAATCCTTGCCAACCAGTGTATTTGGGTTTTTTTGTTCAAAACCGGGTATCATACAAAAAATGGATGGATTTTTGAAACGGACAACAATACAAAAACCAGTCGATAAAAATAATGAAGACAAAGGCAAAAAATCAAGTCAGAGTGTTGGTCAGTACAAAATTGCGCAGAATTGGTTTCATCAGAACACCCGCACGAAATGTATATTGAAAGGCTAGACGGAAAGTGTAATTGAGAGTTAAGTTGTTTTGAAGTTTTGTAGGCCGACTAAACTCACATTCAATGAATTTACAATAAGAAAGAAAGTAAGTAGAATAGAAAGTGCAATTCGCGCAGATGTTCAAATGTTAGTCCCAAAACGAAGGAGACCCTCATAGGCCGCGGTGGTGATGCCCCATCCACACAACGATCGAAAGGCATTCACATGCACTCCTCGATACAGCTGGCGTATCCCACCGCGTTCTTTTAGTATTCGCCGCAACGCCTGGAAAAGGTCGGCGTTTTTTAAGTTCATTTCTGTCCTCGGGTACTGTAACCCCGGTCAGAGCTTTTTGGCGAAGTGCCCAAATCCAAACCTGCCGTGGTGATTCAGCTTCTTTCCCCAAACCACTTTGTACATTGTTTTTAACGACGTTTAGCGGGAAGAACACAGTGGAAATGGTGGCTCCAAGGAGGGCACCAGAGATGAAGTCACCGATTATGCTAAAAGGGCTTTAGTTCTGGTTTTAGAGGAAGCGGTTACTGTAGAAAATGGCTGTTTTCCGATTCGGCTTTGTCCATGATGTAGAGTTTGCAGGGGCCGCGGAGATTGAAGTACATGATGTTTGAGAGACCGTTGCGGGCGACGACTAGGGAGATGCCACGGTAGCATTCGCGGATGCCATGTTCTTTTAGGATATTGATGAAGGCATCACCTAGATTAATGGTTTAAATTTAAATACAAAAAAACTAATTCAAGATCACGTCTGCGATTAATAGCTGTAAAGACTCACCCGTGTTCTTAAAAACTGAGTTGTACTTTTTTGCTTGCAACAAAACTTGAATACGTTCGAGGGGAGCCATCGTTGCCTCGCAGGTCCCAGCTGGAATTTATCGGCTCGGAAAGACTACCCCAACCTACCCATAAACGCGGCCTGTGCCCTCTCCTTCGTAATGATCGGCGAACCTCTGATGTATTTTGTTCCGCCAAATGACGTCTAGAATAAACACCTCTCCCCACTAAATCCGTGACTTCATACCAAAAATTTATCGTATAGCCCGAACATGACCGCTCTAGATGTTGTTCGCATGATTAGAGGAGGCATGAGACCGCGATAGAGCAGGGGGAATCCTTCGTTTTTGATCTATTAAAATAAACCTGAGTTGAAAAGCATTTCTTACATCCTTAAGTGCGCCCATGATGTTATAGCCGAGGACCTGCTGGCGGAAGGAGATTTTGGAGACAGGATACATGAGGCAGGTCTCGATGCATCCGGCCCCCCAGCCGCACCCGAATTCCAGAGCATGGAAACGCTTGGGGTCATCTGAATGTGTTGACATTATGCGTTTTATTTGTTTAGTATAAGGCAAATGGTTTTACAGAAATAACGCAGATTGAGGCTCATTTAAATTGTTTAAAATGCTCCACCCCAAATTACAAGCAAAAACTGCGGTACCAAATAATTTTTCGCATATTTTCCGCCTTCTTTCTTCACCAGAGCCCTCTAACAGATTCAAGTTTTGCTCAGCTACAGTATACGTCAATGTATTATAACTTCAAATAATGAAACCCGTGTAGAATAATTTTTATTCAAGCTACCTCTTGCAAGTGTTGGAGACATTCATCCAGATGACCTTCATCTGATGACCCTCGGGTCCTGAAATCCTAGAAAAAGCTGAGAAATTGGGGGCCCGGCTGGCAGGACAGGCAAATGGATAGACGATTGTCAACAACGTCTCGCGGAGAGACGCAGATGAAAAAGGGAGGGATACTGTGGGGAAAGCGTGGTATAGGGGTGGGCTCCCCGGATGCGTCTGACTCCCTACTTTTCACTCTGAAATTTTACCGATTTTTGTCATTCCAGACCAAACGTTGCGCTTAAGGCCCTGAGAGATTAAGAGAAAAATGATCAAAAATAAGCTAACTTAAAAACATAAATTGAAAATATGTTAACGAGGTTTGCTTAGTAAAGCTAAAAAAGCCTATCATCTGGCTACCGTATTTTATGAAATTAAGTATATTATTTGACGAATTTAGTATATTTTCGTAATCGATACAACGTAATTGGTCTTCTTAAGAACACCCTCCCTCAAAAGAATTTGCCGCCTCCCACGTTTAAGGTGAAATCAATGATCCAATTCTGAGAAACTGAACCGCGGAATGAACCCCGAATTCCGGACTTGAATTCAAAAAATACAAATACATCACTATGGTAAACATTCATTTGTTATTCCGCTGAATTCAGCATTCAACAAAAATGCGCCCACACGGGCAGCATAAGTAGGCGAGCAACACCTGCAATGATTTCATGGATCACATGCCTTCAATTGCAACCAAAAAACTGAATGGCAAATAAGTGTTACGCCAAAAAAATGAAAATGAATGCTTCCTCAACGGAAGTAGACATTCAACAAAAAAACAACTGTTGTTTGCGATGACTCGCTCTATCTATTTTGCCCTCTCTTCTCCCGACAGTCTTGTTGTTGCCAAGAGAAACTACAGGTGCACTATTCGTAGGCGGGCTTGGCTTTATATATTTATCATCATGATTGTTAGGTTTATTAATAAATGCAAAATAAAATATGTAAAATACATTAAGCTTCTTAAAAAGCCATCACCACGCCGGTTTTTGCAGCTTTCTTTGGGAGCACAACTTTCACAGTTTTAGGTTGAACTCTAAAGATGGATGGCTGGTAATGTTAAAAGAAATTTAGCTACCTAATCGGTGGTAGTCTTCTCGGAAGAACCTTATCAGATATAGTAAACGGGCTTTCGTTCTCGATTTCCTCATCAAAAGCGCTTCTTAGTCTTTCTAAAAACGTACATAAACGATTTTAACCTTTTAACGATTTTAACATTTTTAAACGACCTCGAATTGGAATGACACTCATCCTGCGGTCTTGCCTGGCTAGGCTAGGTTCCGGAAGTGGCTGAACGCTTAGTGACGAGCGTTTCTAGAATTATTTACTACGTTAATAATTAGGTATAAGTGACTGACCGATCGCAATAATGATCCCTGCCTCGATCGAAAATGGCAGCGTTTGGAACAACAGCAACACAAAGATGACGTTGATGGCAATGACGGCATTTTACTCATCATCCACGACCATGTCGAAGTCTTTGGAACCTTTGCCGGCTCTTCTTCCGGTACGCACAGGAAATTACAGGCTGACGTCAAAATTGGACACTTCATCGCAAATTGCTAGGTTTGTGGGGGCTGGCTGAAAATCCTGAAAATGTTATTCGTAAGGGGTGTATAGTGGAATGGCCGAGGAGAAATTGTGAGCTGAGCAACAGGTTGGAAATTTGTAGCGGGACATTGATGGAAAGCGGCTTCCAGCCAAAAGAGGGGAAAAGAACCTCCAAGCTGCCGGTCTCGAGACCCCCAAACACGCGCAGGTGAAGTAATGGGTACGTGGAGGCCGAGAAAATAACTATTTTCGAGCTGAATGATTAATTTGGGGTGTAACAGGTTCAAATGTTGCAATCTGATCGCCCCTTTGGTGAAAGAGATTATTTCATGGAGCGGGAAATGCTTGTAAAGCTCATGAACTAGAGTGAAGTCGAGCGGTTTGTACACACTGAAACATTTGCAAAATATTTTTGCCTCCCCCGTTAAGCTGTTTCGATGGGGTCTCAATGCTGATCGCAAACAAAAGTGATCAAAAATGGATTGTAAAGAATATACGAAAATTAAAATTCATGCAAGTGGGAAGCCAATCTGCGTCACGAAACCGGAAGCTACACTCCGCATGCAACATATCCAACTAACCATCTGCAATCCATTAAAAAAAACGGTTAAGCCGCTTATACGAAAACAAGGGCCGCAGAAATTTCATGCAAAATCGATGCGCTTACGGGCACGATGAAAGCGCGAGAGGTCTAGGTGGTGAACTGTGGGACTCCGGTCCGACTATTCGATCTGCTAAAAGGCTGTGCACAATTTATCGCAAGCTTGATATTCTTCTTGAATGGACGGAGGTCTGAAGAAGGAATTGAAGAAGCTCGAGCACGTCTATGACTACGAACGAACCGTGGTAAGTCTCCCCAATGCGACCTCACTTTACAATTATCTTGGCTGCCGTGTTATTTGGAAAATTAGATGTTTTGACAAAAACTGGGGAGTCGTAACGTACCCCGGGTGGATTGTTCGTTGGTTAGACTTCACTAACGAGTCTGTTTTACTGAGGGTTCAATTCAGAATTTGACTTGTTTACGTAGATCTAAATGACTAGCCGACAATTCTAATGCTAATGCACCCCAGGGGATCTAGAATTCAGAAGAACTAATGCGAAATTCAAGGAACACAAAATGACCTAGCTAGCCTAGTATAAGTCCGCGGAGGCGAGAGCAGTATTTTGCGACAACATTCCCTGAAAGTCGTACTATAAACACAAACTAGCGTAGTAACTATAAATAATCCGGCGGCGTGTGGTTAGCAGGGCGAAAATTGCGTGGAAAAGTGATTAGCAGCTAAGTTCTTGACGCTGGCAATGATGGGAGAGTGGCAGCACAAAATATAAAATTTACGTTTGGGTTCAAAAATTGGGCGGAACAAAAATGTTGTCAATTCGTAAGTTAGGTAGGGGGCCCTGGGAGCCGTAAATTAGCACTGTGGCGGGCAGGTAGGTAATTATGTAAGGCTGAAAATGGCAACGATTTGGAGATGTTTGGTTCGCCATTCGTGGGCTCGTTTCGATAAACATTGTCATGAGAAAAATTTGGGCACCATGAAAAATGGTAAAAAATGATGTTTCCATGAAACTGCGTATTTTTAGAGCCTTGGTCGTTATGTACGTCGGTCCGGAGATGGTCCATCAGATTCGAAAACGCAAAAAGATACCGTTCATTTTGCGGACATCTATGCAAAACCGAAGCCCCCCTCCACCGGCTTCTGGGCATCACGACTCTTGGATCGAATCCGTAAGCACAGCCTGAAAAACCATCTCTTATTCATGATGACTCGACGGTAAAACACAGGGCTACGATGTCATCAAAATCGTTCTCTCCCCAGTGACCTGTCACGGGAAGCGGCATTTGCATGAAAATACCGGAGTTTCCCCGGGGTCGACCCTGGGCACCCATCGAAATTCCAAATTGATTTGTCGAAACAATAACATGAGGGCCTCTTATTCATTGCTAGCCGATGATCCAGAGATTATGCTGAGGTTCCATCGGATTGGGATTGTCCAGAATTTAGGGAGCAGTTCTGGTGCGGTGAGTATGGTGATGGGAGATTGGATATTTCTCGCGGTTCTGGGAATTGCTGTCGCATTTTTATCTTCTTCGATCGATACGATCGTGTTTCATTTCCAGACAGGTATTGTATCAAATGATAGAAAATGATACCGCACTTTAGTGCAAGAATGGATTGTTCATATCGCGTCGGAGGAAGAATGTCTGGGTTTTTTGACGATGTATGCATCATGGGTCTTGTTTTTTATGCTGATGATCATTGCATCAGCGACTTTTATCCATTTTGTTGCTCCGCAAGCTATAGGTCTGGAAATTTTGGGAGCTTGACCTCATGCTCTTTAGGTTCCGGAATGCCTGAAATGAAAACGATCATCCGGGGCGTCATTTTGAAAGACTACCTCACGTTTCGAACGCTCGTTTCGAAAGTAGTCGGCTTGATATTCTCGTTAGGAAGTGGGGCCCCGATTGGAAAAATGGTGGCTTGATTTTTTGTTTTAAGTGATACATTTAGGGCCCATTTGTACATATCGCATCGGTTATTGCGAGTCAATTGTGCTCATTTGCCGCCCGTTTTGATCGGGCATTCGGATCAGAAACTCGACGAATGGAAACGTTGACAGCGGCTTGTGCTGTCGGGGTTGCATGTACATTTAGTGCACCCGTTGGCGGTTGGTTTAAAACGCATTCTAAATCCTTATCTTTAGGTGTACTCTTTTCAATCGAAGTTACTACCATGTACTTTTCGGTCAGGAATTATTGGAGAGGCTTTTTCGCCTCTTGTTGTGGAGCGATAACTATTCGATTGCTCAAGGGTGTATTTGCTGAGACGGAAGGTTTGTCTCTTTATTTTTTGCTTAGAATAAATTTAGTAACAACGAGTGCATTCTTTCAAACACACTTTCCAAAGGATCCGTATGTGGCCGATGAGCTGCCATTATTTGCCTTGCTCGGGTATTTCACTTTTAGGGGGATACATGTTTCATGATTTTAGAATAATTTGCGGTATATTCGGCACAGCGTATATATTACTTTATAAACATTTGGTACTGTTTTTGCGTACAAGCCAGTTTGCAAAGCGTGTTTTTCAAAGGAGGTTTGCTAGGTAACTTGCCTTCAGACTATGTTTAGGTGGCTCGTTTATCCGTTGCTGGTCTCCTTTATCCTCGGGTTGGTGACATTTCCCTACGGTCTTGGGCAATTTTTTACGGGAAGGGTAAGATAAATTAGACGGTGTTTTTTAATTTTTGCAGCTGCGTTTCGCCCGTAACCTGAAGGACTTCTATCTGAACTGCACATTCAGTGCGGCAACGGATAGCCCGACGACTTGTTCACAAGACTATCGGTCTCCTTTTATAGACCCGGAGCTGCCACATTTATGGATGTTATTCCTTTATGTTACCGCAACGGTAAGTTGAATTCATTTTGCAGAATTTTTCTAGTTCTTCCTATCCATCGTCTCGGTGACGCTGCCAATTCCGGGCGGGATATTTATGCCGAGTTTTGTGATTGGAGGTGGAATAGGTAGTTCCGACTAATTAGCTATATCATCGGCATATCTCATATTCTGAGCTCGTTACAAAAGAGCCTATTAGGTCGAATGCTCGGCGAATTCACTTCACAAATGGCCCCTAATGGAATTGTATCGAATCATTTCATTATGCCTGGCGTTTATGCAGTTGCAGGTCAGCCCAACGTCGAAAAATTTAATTACAATGTTTTTCATTCTGATTCTATCAGGCTCAGCTTTTTTTCAGGCGCTGCCAGTTTTGCTGGGGCTGTCACCCATTCAGTTTCCGTATCCGTGATTGTTTTCGAGTCGACTGGCCAGCTCCATTGCATATTGCCCGTCATGGTAAACACCATAGAAAACCCAACTTTTATTTGCGTTTTTTAGATCTCGGTCATCATTTCAAATGCAATTAGTACCTATTTAACTCCTTCGTTTTTTGATACTATCATTAAAATCAAGCATCTACCATTTTTACCCGATATCTTGCCATCGAATAACAGGTTCGAGAGTGGCAATTTAGGAGATTTATTAATTCATAGGGTTCATACCATTGTTGCTGAAAGTATTATGGCATCACCTGTGCGCTTCTTGTGTCGGACAACAACTTATGAAGCTGTCAGGCAGATGTTAACCGATGACCCGCCCCTTCGTATATTTCCGGTGGTTGATGGAGACAGTATGAATTGTAGTAAAGAATTAAACTTTTTTTCCTAGCTACCCAAATGTTAATTGGGACCGTCACGAGAAGAACATTATTAGAATTATTGCAAGAGCAGGTTGGGGATGAAGCTAGAAAGGTGAGCTCAACATTTAGGTTTAAGGCAACAAAATTCAGATGGAAGCCGAAAAGCGAGTACGAAGGGCAATTGAAACGATTGATAAGCACTTTAAGAAGACTCAAGAGGTACGCTTAGCATGTTTATCTATCTGTTTTAGTTAACGAGTAGTGATCCTCATTTTACCACCGAAATGAGCTTACCGAAGAGAACGTACAGTGAAGGAAATCAAACATTGGATAGTCTGGGTCGACAAAGAGGTCGATTCACCGGGTATTTGATTTTATATCCAACTTTACCGTATATTTAGAATGAAGCTTCAAAGAAAATTAGCAATAGATTATGTTACTACACCAGCCAAAAGTGCTACAACCAGCGGCGAAGAACAGAGAATTAATCGGTAATCCTGACATCGCACGACCATTCCTTTAGGTTTCTTGTTACTCCAACCCAAGAAACACCACCACCCCTTCCCACCCCAAAATTCATGCTCTACGAAAATGAAATGAGCCCAGAATCGACATTTTCTGGAGAAGGATCCCCGAAACGACGGAATTCGTTCCAAGGCCGGAGGAATGCTTGCTGTAGTGTTGAAGCGGAAATGCGACAGGATCCAGGGGCTATGGGTAGCTCAAATCAATTTTCTGGCTTCAACGGATTTAGAAAATCCTAATACTGATTACTCGGATGATCGCCATCAATTTTCCCTCAATTCCTTCCATGTGGATTATCAAAAAATCATGAAAGGTGGGCAATTGTATGTGGGTTTTTAAATTATTTAGGGTATCTTCAACAAGCCAAGCGTTATATCAGCAATTTGAAAGGGCATGCCAAGAAGGAAGGCTCACACTTTACATTATATGATTTGACTGGGATAGAAGTAGTGCTTGTCAAGAGTATAGAAAGTGTTTTTCAGAAAGAACAATGGGAGGCTAGTCGGCTGCAGGAGAGATTTACCTTTCCCGAAGATTTAATAGACCCTGCACCCTTTCAACTTGTCAAGAGGACTTCATTACATAAGATCCATTCAATTTTCTCTATGATGCAGCTAACAAAGGTATAAAAAAACCCAGCAATCCATAGTTTTCCAGGCCTACGTAACTGATTGTGGCCGTGTTGTTGGTGTCGTGGCACTTTGTGATGTAATTTCTAAGCCCTGCATGATAGAATTTTTGTTGCTTCACCTTATTTCTATTTAGTTCTGGCTATATATTTTCCCTGGGCTGTTTGGGTGCAGGGCCAAGTGAGAGCTCATCGTTTTTAGGTGCGCCACGCCCTGGAAAACAGCCAAACGCTTCAGAATGATTTACCGCAGGATCAGCGGCCGCCCATCAAGAAGGATTCGGGGTATAAGGAGGCGCTGCGCGATGTTTTGACGCCGGCCATTGAAGTGAGAAGCTGGGGGGCTTAAGATTTTGAATATTTAGGTGATTATACCGAGTGTCAATGGGAAAGATGGGTGCTATGTGCAGCTGGGATCGGATCCGGAACACGGAATTTCACGGCCGATCACTTTGAAGTTGCAGCCGGAAGTTGAAGCAAGAGTTTCAGATAGGAAGCATGGCACAAAGAGGTTTGTTATCTATACAAACTCAAGCTTTTCAAAGATGATTTATTTACTTAGCATCATTATCCTTTTCCAGAGATTCTTTGGTCGGAACCCAAGCTGAAGAAGTCGTAGACGCCATGGCCTACCTACGTCGAAAATCTACAGTACACCGCGAAACCAGAACGCCAAATCCAAAACCCGCAACCGAATAACCGAAACCCCAACCCCCACCAAAACTGCTCATTTACCAAACGGGTTAATAAATTTCCGCTCCTCTCTCTCTACCTCGCCCAGCGAAAATAGTAGCCCAGCGGAATGTGCAGAAGTATCAGATGAGCATGACAGCTATCCATCGCTACCCGCGCAAGAATTCTAAAGGGGGCAAAGCCGACGCGTGGGCTGCGTTGTGGTTTTATGCCTGCCGACAACTTCTATTTAACCCAGGGCTTCCTGGTCTCGCATTTTTCGCTTCATATATTTGGTCATCACGGGGCGATCTTCCGGCGTGGCGGAACGGGCCGAGGTTTGTTTGGAGAGCATTTATTTCGTGGAAATTTAAAGAAACGTGAATACGTGTGGTATGGGTTTGGTTCTCATAGAACACCGGAGATTCTGCTATATTCTCACGGCTATATGCAAAAAATGACACTTTCCTAGGTTTTGTTTCCCCGCAAATCTTTGGCTGTCTTAAATAAGGTTTCCCCTCTAGCGGTCGGAAGAAAACTGGGATCGGGATTATTTTTGATGGCAGTAAATAAGCGATTAAAAAGGCAGTAAATAATCGGCTTTTACTTCCAAATTTTTATGTTTGTTTTGATCCGAATTACACGTTTTCCTAAAACGGACGTTGCGTTGATGGCTTTCACCCATAAAATCTTCATTCTATGTTTCGTTTCTTAAAAATCTATTAAAACCTTGATTCTAACAATTATAATGCCGATTTAGAAACCGTTAGTGCTTATTTGCTCACCTTTTCGAAGGCTTGCGATCTTACTATATATAAAAAAAATAGTGTTTGTGTGTGTGTGTGTGTGTGTGTATATTTGCATGCACTTCCGTTTGGATGTTCCGCACCTACAGGTTCAGGGAAGCATTTTTTCGGTAGGGAAGAAACGTCATAGGGTAAATAAGGGGCTGGAATCGACTGCACACACATAAAATCTTCGATAAATTGCTATTTTCGCTATTAAATTTAGGTTTTTGTAAAAACCTTGGCGTTCCTCTTTGTTAGAGAAAAATTAGCATACGCCGGAAGTGGAGGTGGCTTATAAAAAGGAAGGGAGGGCGTGGTTTTTATTTTTTTGGCCATCGTTTTCGGCAAGAATTATGCAAATTTTCATAAATCCTAGACGGGGCCAGGGTTGAAAAGCCGCGAAGCGGTTTTTCAACCCTGGTGGATATCTAAATTTTAAAATCGGTGGTTTCTCTGATCCGCTAGAAGGAGGCACTTTTTTGCGCCACCCTGTAGAAATTTTGGCAATAAAACCTTAGAAAAACTAGTCCCGCATCAATCTAGGCAAAAAGCATCCGAATCGGGTGCGGCCAAAAAAATAATTTCTCATGCGCACACTCGTAAGCAATGTCCCCCCCAAGCTCTGCTCCACTCATTCTAGTCTCTAGATTCTTTCTATTTGCCCGAAAAAAGCGTCGATGGCTGAAAGTTTTTGCGGGGATTCTGGGGGGATGAGCCTCCAGATTGCCTGGAAACGCTCAATTCCAGGGGTCTGTTAATAGGTTCTGGAGGATCGGCTGGCTGGCTGGCTAGTGGGCCCACCACAGCTTTCAAAACAATAAAATAGTTAATTGAGAAGCCATTTCGAAGCCCATTTCTGGTTCCATTTCTAAGCCTGAATATTTTTTGTCTGGGTGCTACTAATTAGAGCTTTGCCTGAATTATTTAACGCGTCATTAGTCGCGCCTTGGCGGATACGGGGAATGGGGAAGGAAACTGTTGGTGTTGGCTATTAATGGGGTTGGACCAGGAATACATCTTGGCACGTCATTTGGGCGACCAATTTTTTTTATTGCTTATGAATATTCGGATTAGGCGTAAGCCGTTGCTGATCAGTGCTAAGGATGTAGCTCGTCAAAAAAATCTAAGCCAGTTTCGAAAGCTTTAGCCAATTTCCTGGTTAGCGTCTCATCCGGAATACACTAACCCAGTATACTGGAACTGACAGATCGTAGGACATACGGGGAATCCCCCTTCTCATTTTTTACATACACTCTGTCAAATAACTATAGAATCAAGCGTTTTTTGCCCGTAACTTTCTTTCTATTGATCGGTTCGACTCGAAAATATTAGTGTGGCCCTTCTTTGATAGCAGAAAACTGTGTGCAAAGTCTGGAGGAGAACCGATTTGTGGAAGGTTTGAATCCGGAAAGCTTCGTTCTGAACTTTGTCAAAAAACTATAGAATCACTTTTAAATCACCTATTTTTCTACCCGTTTATCTTTTCCGACCATTTTTTTCCAACGAGCATACATTTCTTTACACAAGAACTATACTTTTGATTGAATAGTTTGGGCGTCCAAGCTCAGAACAGGATTTTCCAAAAACTGAATTTAACAAAGAAATCCACATTTTTCTAAAATTCTGACAATAAACAGCTATGGAAAAATATGTCACTTTGCCTGCTGAAAGAGCATTCCAAGGTACACATTTGTTTATTGGAACCTACCCTCCATTTACGAACGTTCGTCCTCTACGGTCACTTTAGTGTTTGGCCGCGGCTCTCAAGGTATTTTCCTGACCATTTAACAAAGGACACGTGGCGTCGACGGTTCGACAAAGCATATCTTTGCCGTCAGGCTGTTTCCCGGAAAACGAAACGCACCTATGTACTCGCTGTCAACTGTGCATTCCGAGGTACAATCAACATTTAGCAAATACAATTTTGATATGGCAGAATTTTAGAAAAATGTGGATTTCTTTGTTAAATTCAGGCTTTGGAAAATCCTGTTCTGAGCTTGGACGCCCAAACTATTCAATGAAAAGTATAGTTCTTGTGTAAAGAAATGTATGCTCGTTGGAAAAAAATGGTCGGAAAAGATAAACGGGTAGAAAAATCGGTGATTTAAAAATGATTCTATAGTTTTTTGACAAAGTTCAGAACGAAGCTTTCCGGATTCGTACCTTCCACAAATCGGTTCTCCTCCAGACTTTGCACACAGTTTTCTGCTATCAAAGAAGGGCCACACTAATATTTTCGAGTCGAACCGATCAATAGAAAGAAAGTTACGGGCAAAAAACGCTTGATTCTATAGTTATTTGACAGAGTGTAGACTACGTGCCTGTCGTCGATATACTGAGGGCATTTCCGGCGAAAAACATTAATTCAGAGGGTGGGTGTGGGCGAGGTCGAGTGCCGTTTTGTTCGAAGTCTCATTTGCAAGCTCTTTTGTGGTGTGGACACTTCATGGAGGTCCAGTTGGCCCGGGGGCCACCACCGCCACTTCCTCGCCTAGAGTTGAACTTCTGAATTAACCACTAGACACATACACCCACCAACCCTTCTCCCCAGGTTGAAAACAGAGGTCGCCTCGGGGGGTTGGGTTATTCTTACGTTTTTCCGTCTGTTGTAGGTGTGGCTGTGCGTGAGTTCTTGAGTGCTGGCTCAATCCAAGGGGATACCTTGCGAGAGAGTCGTTTGACACCTGAATTGATTTGGACGAAAGAAGAGAGAACAAAGTTTATTTACGATAACGGCAATAGCCTAAAATAATACAAGCAGCCAGACAAGACGGGCGAAGTGGAAGAGAATGAAAAAGACACGCACAAAAAAGGGTTATCCCGGGGGGAGTGGGGAGCGCACACAGGGCGCGGTGCAAAGGGGTGCGCCGTAGTGGCATCGCGTAATTGAATCAAAAGACTTTCTTTTCTTGCTTCCGCAACATCTTCCTCCTTGAATGAAGAGCTTGACTTGAGGATGAAGTTGAGCTTGATGGAGACGACGTTGACGGCACTTCAATCTTGATATCGCGACGGCGGCTTCCGGATGCGCTTGTGGTGAAGGATCGGTCCAAGGGCATCAGTCTTCTTTGTCTTCTTCACAGGTTGTGCTTGATCTTGTTGACGAACTTCAGGTTCGTCGTCGCGTCCTTGTGGTTGTTGAACAACGTCATCGAGTTGTTCAATTTGCGGTTGTTGAGCAACGATTACGGGCTGGTCAACTTGAGGTCGTCGCGGCACGGCTGGTGATCTTGCCGGTGATCGTGGATGCGACTTCGGTGGCGACTTGGTTGGTGTTGTCGGCCGGTGAGCGGTGGGATGGGGAACATTCGGAACGGGTGTAAGGGGAATCAATGTAGGAGTTGTGGCGGATGATGCAGCTGGCTTCTCGAGAGGCTTGTCAGGAGGTGGAACAGTGTCCTGCACATTGAATTTATCATCGCTGGCAAGATCGAATTCTTCCAGGATATCATCGAGCACGTCTCGAACGAATCGAGCACGAAGCTGGTTGGCATGTCGACGCCAAACGACTCCAGAGGTAGTTTCAACCTCGTACATGGACTTTCCACACAATTTAGAAATACGTCCTTCTACCCAGACAGGTTTGCTAGGTATTTTATAATCTCGAACCCAGACAGTCTGGTCGATTTCGTAGGAACGCTTCTTTGCGCCGTGCTTCCGGTTGTACTGTTCAACCATCTTCATCTTCTCCCCCTTCGGAAAGATGAGATTCGCACAAGTATTGCTGTTGCTCTGGGGCAGACGCAAGCGAGCAATGGGAGTAACAAGCTTTCTCCCGATAAACCTTTCAGCCGGAGATAGCTGTTCTGGTGAAGATGGGCAAGGGGTGGACCGATAAGTTCGCAGAAATATTTGCAAAGTTTCAGCGTTAGTCGAACCAGCGGCTTTGCTCAAAGCGTGCTTGAAGGTATCGACGAAACGTTCGGCCAATCCGTTCGACTGGGGATGGAACGGCGGCGTGCGAATATGGGTAATTCCACGTTCCTTACAGAAATCTTCAAACTCCTTCGAAGTGAATTGAGTTCCGTTATCCGAAACGAGCGTTTCCGGATCTCCGAACCTCGAGAAAACATCTCTCAACTGGGCAATCGTCACTCGGCTTGTTGCCACCTTACACTCAAAGATTTCAGGCCATCTTGAGTAAGCGTCGACAACGATCAAATACATTTTTTGATCAATCGGACCGGCATAATCAATATGCACGCGCTCCATTGGACGATTTGGGGTAGGCCAGGG